GCATCTGAGATCGGCTCGATTTGAGAAAGGGGAAAACATTTAACCAGATAAAAAAAAAAAACACTGGGTGGATTTGTATCATTATAGGGTGGTTGTGTACACACACTGCCAACACACATTTCAGTTCAAACAACTTGTAAAAGTGCATGTAGCATCCTATGACCCCTTTAATGAAAGTGTAACATTAATTAATTACAATTGATTTAGCAAAATGTTTGGTAGTCGTGATAAATTGACTGACAGGAAATGAACTGATTGAACTAATTTCTCTATCTTCCATCTTTCATTACTTCTTCTTCCCATTTTGCAGATTTAAACAGTCATTAAGATAAGGAGTTTAAGGTTCAGAGAGAATAGATACAACACTAACAGATTAGCTTTTCCAACAAACTCTAAATGATCTTTGCCAAGCAAAAAATCTTCTCTCTTCACCATCAAATAAATGTCACTGTTTCCCTGAAAAAAAATCGTTGCACCTTTCAGAATTACTTACCCCATTTGTCTTCATTACGCATCTTATTTAGAAATTGTTTTTCAAAAGTTGTCTGGCCTGGAGAGCCGCCCAATTCTTGAAATTGGATGCATTTTGGCTCTGAAAACAGCAGAAATTGAATTAATTTGTGAAGCAACACACCAGTGTCCTCAGACATCAGAGAAATGGTCCACTGAAAAGACACTCTGAAACTCTGAAAACAGTAAGTTTGTGGATGTCTAATCTAAAACTTACTGAAAATTCAATCAAGAATTTTGGATGAAACGTTGATAGAGCCTATTAACAAAAGTGTAAACATTAACAAAAGCCATGAACTAGAGTTGGAACATCAAGTCTTAATCACATGGTGCTCCAAACCAGTGTACTGAGAAGTTGTATGATGTATGATCCAAACCTAAACGTAATCCTAAATCCAAACTCCTTGCCCTGCCCCTGAAACTAAACATTATTGTAACAGGAAAACCAGTAAGTTTTCATACAAACTAAGTCAAACAACATTGTGTGATTTTGCCGTATTGTACAAATTATTATGTGTACGTTGGATGCTCTGGACTCAGCATGGTCCATTGAAAACACGAAGTATATATTAGTGTTGTCAAAAGACCCGGTACTTCGGCACCAAGTCGGTACTTAAAAAATGAAAACGTTACGGTACCAGGTTTTCTTAAGTACCGGTGGTAGCGAGTACCTGGTCAACCCGGTTCTTGATGCTCTATTCGAAAGGTGCGCAGATGCGCTCTCTTCATAAAAGCACTGAGACATGGCGACCTCAAAAGGAGGAAACACATTAAACTAACAAAACACTTTAAAGACGACACCCCGATCAAATGAAAGAGTTCAAGCAGGTAAGTTTCAATTTTATTTTTAATATTTCGATCTTCTGTTATGAATATTATTCCATATTTTAATTTGAATGTCGGATTGAAATAAACATAGCCGTACATATGTATATGTATATATATACGTATATATATTAGGGCTGTCAAAATTAACGCGTTAAAGGTGGGGTAAGTGATTTCTGGTAGACAATGTTGATATTTCAAATCACCAAAACAAACACGCCCCTACCCCAAAAGGGTCTCGCTACTATTTTGATAGCTCCGCCCCACACATACGTACGCAACCCAAGCAATGATTATGGCGGAATCTGCTGTGCCAGCCGGCCAAGGGGAAGGTGTCATCAATAAGTGAAAGCAATGTGTGTTACTATGGTTATACAGGTTGAATGTGTTTTAGTAGTACTGTGTTTTAACGTGCATATGTGTTTTAACAGCATATATTAGTTATGTGAAACAAACTAAACTCACCTATCGAGAAGAAACAAAGCAACCTCGGCATCCAATCGAAGGTCTTCCTGCTCCTTGAGTTCTCTCCAGCACTGGAAAGCTGATTCGATATTTACACGGGTCCTACTTCTTGCCTTATCGTAAGCCTTCGTTTGTTCCGCAGACATATTGCTCTTTTGTTTTTTATCCGCCATCTCTATCTTTCTATCGTCGCTCGGCTCTTCTAATGTCCGTCATGTGTACTGAGCACTCTCTCCTCCACATCATGAGTAGACACGCCCCCTTACTGCTGATTGGCTACAAGTTTGTTTTGGTACTCGGCCAGACTCAGCTTTCTAAAGCATTTTTTTAAAAATACATACCCCACCTTTAAAATGAGTTTGCTTTAACGCGTTATTAAAGGTGGGGTATGTATTTTTTCAAAAACGCTTTAGAAAACCAAGTCACTGTCTTTGTTACTGTTTGATCGGGGAGGAGACCACAATATCAGCGTGATTTTACGTTATTTCCTTATCACTTCTCGCGTGCAGTTGGTTGTGAAACGTAGATTGCGGACCAGACAAAGTTGTTGGCAATTCTTCCTATTGTAAAGCCATGCAGTGTGTAACCTCCTGTTGCCGAACGTGCAATGTGAATGCAGCAGCAACTAAATGCTACCCCAGATAGTCATGCTGTGTGAAAACAACAGTGATCCGATGACTTTGAAAATCATGCAGTGTGAACTCGACATTACCCATGCTAACCATTATTGTAACAAGAAAAACCTATACATTTTTTATACAATTCAAGTTGTACAACATTGTGCAAATTTGCCATATTGTACACATTGAGTGTGTTGGATGCTCTGGACTAAGTTTATGGATGTCTAATCTAAAAATGACTGAAGACATAGTCCAGAATTTTGGATCAAAGCCATGAAAGTCTAGGTTGTGCCATTTTTCCATCAAGTTCTTTCTTTTTTCCATTACTTTGAGATCAAAAACCTTCATCAGACAAGTTCTTGGAGATGTTGACCTAAAGTAAACATAAAGGGGCATTAGGAGCCCATTTTACTTTAGGACTTTTTTCTTGTTCAAGAACGCAGTCAAGTTAACTAACCTTTGCAGGCCTCATGCATTGTCACAGTGGTTGAATTTAGCGTGGGCGGCTAGCTGTCGGGCGCCAGTAGTGCAACAGGAGAAATGGTGGAGGTGTAAACATCTGTGCACATCTGAGAAAGTGCGAAGTTTGCATCTCTCGGCGGCACTCATGAATGCTTTATTTACCACAATATGTGTTCACTTTGAGTTTAATGACCACCGATGCAGCATGGCCTCTCTTTCCATCCTCCTATAAAGCCGGTTTAATGGCGGAGAGGGGAGAGAGATTCCAAGCTGCCAGTTTTTCCTGTTCATCATAAAAATCGAACAGCTCTCGCCACACTTGCTAGCTTTCAAAAAGCACTTTGTGAATGTCCATTGCTTTTAAATCAGTTAGTCAAGTGTGTTTTGTTTACAAAGACCATGTGTTATTCGCAACAGCTATTCATTGTAATTCTCTTTGGATTCGGTACATTACCAATTTCTCACTGTCAGCACTTAGCTTTGGTGAAATTATATGGTCGGGCCAGAAGATACCTGGAAATGAGATTAATGAAACTGTTGAGAGGAAGACAGCAGGGAAAGGGAAAGATAGATAAATGACAGTGCTTAAAAGAAAATGAACAATGATAATTCATCAAATGACAGTGCAAGATGAGGAGATGAAGGGAGAGAGAGGAAGAAAATATAATTATAGCTGCAAGACATTACAGGATAAGCACATCAGTGGAACATATGTCTTAATGCCTTTTTGAAACAAAGTCTAGAATTAGATACATTTTTGTTTATAACTTTTGACCAGTAGGCGGTTTTGGGTACTTTGCATAGTTCAAATTGGTCAAATTTGTTACTGACAAACAGTTCCGAAAATATACAAACTCACAGTAGTAAGGAAAAATGGAAGAAAAAATGGTGGAAATAAAACATTTTACTAAAGTTAAATTTTTTTTGGCCATTTTGATTTTACAGTAGGTGGCGCTATCGGAAACTGCTCCTTTACTGTATGTTCAGGGCACTTTATATGGCGATTTGATTTATATGTAAATGAGTTTAATGTCAATACATCGAAGCCTTGTGAAGCTGAGTTGTCGCAATCAAATTTGTTCACACATTAAACACAAATGGTTTGATTTACCAAAAAGCTTTTAGTACATCTTGACTGCCATGTTCACAAAATGATATGACCCAAATTTTGTGAGGATCTGATGAAAGCTTTACGACAAGTTCGGAAAAAAAATATGTTTGCAAAGGTAAAAAAAAAATAATAATAATAATAATAATAAATAAAAATGGGGGAAAAAATATGGGGCAAAAAAAATCAATGGGTGCTCAATCCCTATGGTGCTCCAACCCAGTGTCCTGATAAGTTGTAAAAATTCAAACAAAAATGTACGGTCCAAGCCTATTGTAAATGTAATCCTAACGTTTTCCCCAACACCTACTGTAAATCTAACCATGATTGTAACAGGAAAACAACAACAACAACAAAAACCTATAAATGTTAACGTTCAACCAAAGTTGTACAACATTGTGCAATTTTTCCATCTTGTATGAATTATTATGAGTTTGTTGGGTGCTCTGGACACAACGTGACCTAAGGAATCAAAAAACACAAGAATCATGTTTCTATACCATTTGGTTGAAAACTTACAAGCTTACAATACATGCATATTGAGACACTAGATGCTAGGTGCTAGAGAGTTGAAGATACAGATCCCCAAATTGGCACTGAAAATATTGAGACCCAAATGAATCAGTGTGCCAAATTCTACATTTTTTTTACATTGAGGTTTTCACAGACTCCCAGCCAGAAGTTAATGAACGATAAGGAAACCGAATGATACAATAGACGGCTACACACTTTCGCTGTTTAGTCCCTAATTAAACAGCACTTAGTGGAGACATGTTGAGATGAGTGAAAAAGAAAGAAACACTATGCAAACGCAAAGTTGAGGTAGAGGGGTAATACATGAATGTGGAAGTCATATGACAGCCATGGCGAGAATGGATACGCAACGCAAACCCTGGGAGAATAAAATAAGCAAGTGTGTCCCTCGGGAGGTAATTAAGGTTTGCAGAATGTTGACTCTTAACAGCCTGTGGCAAAGAAGAAGAAGAAAAAAAAAAACTGTTCCCTAAGCAACTAAGATCTTTCTGCATTCCCACTGCTTTAGTAAAGCTAATGCTAATAGTTATATTAATACTAGTACTACTACTTTAAAAGTAATTATTATACATCTATTAAACAGTGTTAGAAGAAGATACATTAAATCTGGGCAATCTGAAAATGCACTTATTTTGCTTTTTCGAAGAGGCACCAGTGGCAGTCCTGGATCATTTGTTAGCCAAGGGATTTAAAAAGTTAATAATATTATAAATATTGCAAGGAAAAAGTATGTGAACCCTTGATATTCTGTATTAATTTGGTTATAAAATTTAATTTGATATACAACCAAAACAAGAAAGACAGGCTAAAGAAAGAAAGGGATTGCTATTCAGAAAACCTAGTTATAATAGCTGCTTCACTCCTGAATCCAAAAGAAAAAAAAAAGTTGGTAGCAAAATCTTCATTAAAAAAGTTGAAAAATATGTACTTTGTAAAACTGAGTGTGAAAAATTACATAGAAGTTTTATTGTCCGAGTGAAACTCCAATGACATTATGGTTCTGTGATCTGGAAAACTGTGTGTCAGACATTCAGATGAGTGAATCCCCTTCGAGAGCTTTAAAAACCAGGTGGGGACACTAAAATGAATCCTAAAATGTGCAGGTAGCCAGAACAACTGCAATTTGCTTGACAATGGTGGGTCTTTCATTACTTTTAGTATCGTTTTTGCATAGCAGGCCAGTATGAACATAGGATAATTCTTTCCGCAAATATTATTTTGATTTTGAAAAGCCATTTCACGCTCTAAAAGCTTAAAAGGTACCAAATAAGTTACAGATTGTTCTAGTAGAAAAGTTTTGAAATCAGAAGAGTGAATTATAGATACTAGGCTACTGAATGCCAACAAACATTCTGGGAAAATGCTAAAACACGTTAGCAGCAAGCAATGTACTTAAACATGTTAGAAGAACTGCTAGCAATAGTGCTAAAACATGCTAGCTACATAAAACAAGCCATAAACAGACACATGCCAACTATACAGAAACATCCTAAACATGCTAATGTGTTAAAATATGCAACACTCAGATATATTACATATGCTAAAGCATGCTAAAGACAATATGCTAAAGGTCTTTATGTGCTACATATGCTAAAGACCATGCCAGCAACTCTCAGCAACATGTTACCAATTAGCCATGCGAAAACCAACTAATGCAGTCTGAAGTAGTCTAATATCCCTTATGAAAATTAACCATGGTATTACTGTAGTAAAAGTGAAGTAACCATGTTTTTTGGCATATTGATTACAATTTGTATAACCACAGTTTTACTACAAATACCATGGTTAAACTATGGTTAGTGTAGCAAAACCATGGTTAATTTGTGGTTACTTTGGTTTTATTTGTAATAAAATAATCTAGTTAAGTTTATGATTTGTCTATATTTTAGTCATTGCAATTTATATATTAAGTTATAACTTAGATTGAAGTCAAGAAATGCAAACGGTTGCCTTCATTATTTTAAATTCTACAAACACCTCATTTTTTACACCGCATAGGCAGCATTACTAATTCATTCTCCCCAGTATGTGACAGAAATAGATATAGAGATAAAATGAATGAGGGAATGAGATAAAGACAGTGTGGATAGAGCGAACGCACTGCAATACTGAAGAAAGCAGTTGAAAAAATGTCACGTACAGTTTTGGCCGTTTAGGTGACTAATGCTAGCGATTACAGCACGAGTGATAAATGACTCTGATTAACCTGCAGTCAACGTGAACCCACAGCTGTGTGTGTCTCTTTCTCTCTCTCTCAGGTGTTTGATTGCTGTGGTTGTTGGCTGTGCGGGACCTGGTTATATGGGGCTGCTCAAGGGACTGCAGTAATTAAATTCGTACCTGTGGAGTCATTGCACCGTAGAGCAGAGCCCACAGAGGAGCTCAGATGTCGGTGTTCATGACATTGTAGTCCAACGAGTCTATTAAAGTGCTTTCTGCGCTTTTGGATGTTTCCTATAAAGAAACAACAAGATGCAAGACAGATACCACTTCTGTTTAGTTCTTCAGAAAGTCTACAGTTTCACAAGGAAATGTCACCAAAGCATTATTCAGTCCATATTTTAACTAACTTTTTAGAGATTTGGTAAAGCTTTGGTTGTGTTTGGACCTTGTCTTAAGTATTCCGTAAAGCATAGGTTAATTTGAGTTGTTTTGCATGGCTTTTCACGTTTACATAAAAAAAAAAAAAAAAAACGTTTTTAATGTATTAGATTAAAACCAACATGTCAATGTGAATCTGCAATGATTTCCACTACATTGTATGTTTTATAGTAAAAACAATTTAGTTAATGAATTATTAACAATTAAAATTTTATCAAAGACTATAGTTATGATAAAACAATACTATATACAATTAAACTTCTTACATTACAATAACTACTATATAATTTATTCCAGTTAAATATTTTGATATAAATTCTAATGAATAAAAAAAAATGAAAATAAACAAAACAGTTACATTTCTGAATAAAACATTACTTAAAGTACAATGTTTACTGTAAGGAACTATTTCTACCTGTCTGTTGAAGCCAGGTTGATTTCGCCATAATAAATAACATTTTGACTTAAATATAATATATAATATAACCAACTACTTTAGTAATTACAACATGAAAGACATTTTATTAACTGATGCTAAATGCTAATCTAAAAAGTTTAGTAACATCTACATTTATTGACTTTTTCAGTTAAAAATATTATTTATCACAAATATATAATCAAACTAAATTTAAAATAAACTAAATAGCATAAAAGTATTTGTACAAAAAAAAAAAAACTGAAACGACTGAAACATTTGCAACTATTAAGTACAATACTTCACCATACACAGTAAAAATGACATTGTTTGCATCACATTATATGTAATATTACTGTAACATACTGTAAAATGGTAAAACGGGTTTAGCATAGTTCCTGGGGGGGAAATGCGAATTTACAATTTTCAGAAAAAAATACAGTGCAGTAAACAAATATATTTTTGTAATATATAATTTTTTTTTTTTTACAGTGAACTGCCATTAAAATATCTAACCATACTAACCAACAAAACTGGTCACTCAGGGACTTTTATAAAAACACACTAAAGTGATGTTTCCATTTTAAGAATGGGCTGCAAAAAGCACAACCCATGATAAGGTCAAACTAAAAATAATGTCTGTTTTGCTCCTGACCTCGGTTTTGACCCTACTTCTCCATCAAGAGATATTTTACGTTTGAGCTTTTACTGTGTTTAGAATAAACTAGAGACGTTACCATCACAAATCCCTCAGGGTTTTACTAAATAGTACCTATATACAAGTATCAGACACTGTCCATCGGCGCTTTGTAAGAGTTTGGCCTTAAGAAGATCTCATTTTAGTGGTGACACCAAACTGCCACTGGATTTTGCGATTGGACTGAAATTATAAGAGGCTTCAGTGTTATCGTTCTCTCTTTTCCTTTATCTCTGGATCTGTCCATTTGTGATGGGCAGCCAAGCAGCAAATTGTCTGTCAACCTACAAGTTACTTTAAGAGGCTGAAGAGCGACTTCAAAAGATGCTGGGGGAAAAAAAAAAAAACAGACGGTAGAGAGGGAGACGGACACAAAGACGGATAATTAAAGTCTGCCCACAAAGCGCTTTGATTGGATAAAGGCACTATAAAGACACACGCTAGACGGGTGTGAGGGAGCGCACTTCTCTCACACACACACACACAAACTAAATTTAGTGAGAAGCACAAAGCACACACATCTTTGCTTAAAAAAAAAAATTAATAAAAAGGTCACGGCTGAGTGCTAAAATGAAGCAATAAGCCAAGAAACTCCATCCAGTATAATGCATTTACTACATTTAAGGGGCAAAAAATGAAACAGAGCCATCTTCGCTATAGTAAAATCACCTTATGTGTGTCTGTGTGTGTGTGTGTGTGATATTATAATATATTTACATTATAATTACAATGACTTAACTGATAATAAACTATGCTTGGCAGAAGAATCGTGTCAATATTAGTATGTTTATTTATTGTACATTAAATATAATAATATATGAAATTATTTAAATATTTTATTATACTGCTAACACTTTACAATAAGGTTATATTTGTTAACATTATAATTATATATAAATGCTTTTAACATGAACTAACATTGAAAAATACTTTTTATTTTTTATCTTATCTTATCTTATCTTATATTTTTAATCTTAGTTTATGTTAATGTTAACATTTACTAATGCATTATTACAATTTAAAGTATCTGTTAATCATTTTTAATGGACCTGAGAAAACATGAACTAACAATGAACAGTTGTATTTTTATTTATTTATTTATTTATTGCATTTTGCATTTTATAATAAACTATACTTTGCAGAAGAAGAGTTACTGAGTTTATGAATAACTTTATTTACTGTATATTGAATAAAACAATGCATAAAATTACTTAAATATTTTAAAATATAATGCACATAAATATTTATATTATATTATATTTTATTTTAAATCATTATCATCCACTATATATATAGTATAATACATAAAATCATTGAATCATATTTTAAAATATACATAAATATTATATTATATTATAAAAAAAATAAAAGTCATTATTTACTTACCCCCATCACCCAAGGTCTTAGTCACTTTGAGCATGTTTGTTTTGTGCAAAATAAATAAATATAAATTAATTAATAAATTAATTAATTAAAACACCAAAGTTTTTTTTTTTGTATGCTACAGTATATTACAAGCCTTCTAAAGTCATATGAAATTTAAGTGGTTGTTTACTATAAATCTTGAACTCATGAACTGAATCAGTGGATGAATCATGTTTTTGAGCCGGTTCTTTTCAGTGAACTGGTTATTTGGTTTGTAAATTGGACAAAATTATTTTTTTCCGATTCGTTCATTGGATATTTCATGGATTTGGTTCATCCAATAAGCTTTTAGAGCTCAAACGGTCTTATTTATGTTTTTCCAGGTGCCCTGGTTCGGTCCTCTCAAAATCAAATCTATTTTGAAACAATTTGCTACAAGTTTGTTTTGCTAGAAACATTGTGAACAACATTCCCGAGTTTGTAAATGACAGATTGATTTTAAATTACTGAACAGTGTGAGCTGAAACACAAGCTCACAGTAGTGTGTCAAACAAACACGAAAGGCAATTGTGTTTTTCTATGCAACAGCCTTGAGGAAATTATAGTGATTGTGTGTGCATCATGTTTTGCATCGGTGTGAATGTCAGTGCTTTCAGGAAAGAGGAAAAATCAATGGAGACTTCATCTCAAATGAAACAGGACCTCATGGGACTGGTGTCTCACCTCTGTACCTGATGATCTGGGAAATGAGCCATATTCACACTTCAGTAAATTCCAGCACAAACATGTCAGAATACAAATCATTAGCATCTTTAAGATTATTTTTGCTTCCTTGCATTGTAAAAAATCATAATGTGAATATACCAACCTATTTAAATTACATAAAATATACTGGTTTGTTAAAATTATCAAACAATTATTTTGATCAAACAAGTATTTCTACTTTAGAAATAAATGGCTCATTTTACTTACAACATTTTTTACAATATTTTACAGTAAAAGCAACTAAATAGTTTGTTAAATATACACTGAACAAAATTATAAATGCAACACTTTTGTTTTTGCCCCCATTTTTCATGAGCTGAACTCAAAGATCTAAGACTTTTTCTATGTACACAAAAGGCCTATTTCTCAAATATTGTTCACAAATCTGTCTAAATCTGTGTTAGTGAGCACTTCTCCTTTGCCGAGATAATCCATGGCAAAAACAAAAGTGTTGCGTTTATAATTTTGTTCAGTGTAATTAATAATATATTTATTTATATATTATTCACATGAATATAATATAATATAATATAATATAATAATTAGACTGATTAGATAGATTGTTTTATGGTAAGGTTAGACACATTGTCTTATTAATCTGTGTGTTTTTCATTGTATATGGTAAAATAACTTAGTTAAATTTAGCAGTTTTAACTTTCATATTTAATATATTTCTCCTTAAAATGACACATTTTACCTTTTCTGTTGTGTGGATGGAAAGAGTTCTGAACAAATATGAACAATCAATGAACTTACAGAAAATATCATTATTATACATAAAATACATAGTATTTTACAGTAAAAGTAACTGAATTGGTTTGTTATTATAATAATATTTCAATTCACATATCAGCTTATATAATAATAATTAATATTCAAAATATAATATATTTAATTTTGAACGACTTTTTCATTGTATATGGCATTGTATATTAAGCAGATTAAGCATTTTTTCCCCCTTGTACTGTTCAAGTGTTACAGCATGGTTGGAGAATGTCTCCAAATGAATCTGCAAATTTTAAGAAACAAGATTCACAGTTAAAGTTTCTATAAGCGCATGTTCAATAATTCAGGTTTACATCCATATCAGCCTATTACACTCAACAGCATTAGCCATACTTCTCTCTCTCTCTCTCTCTCACACACACACAGACATGTGAGAGTATAAACACAATCAATTCAGCAGCATACAAACGCACCCGAGTGTGACCGTTCACATGCACAAACACTATCAGAGGAACGTTTGTAACCTCTTCACCTGAATCATGTCAGCCTTTCTTCTGCCCCTCTTCTACCTGCAGTGCTAGTCGTCATTTCTTTATCATTCCCTCCTTCCTTCAGTGCATTTCTTCCCCATGGTAAGGAATAATAATTATATAAACAGTCTGGATGACAGTGGAGAGTCTTTGCTGGTGGCAATAACTCAGCATCTCTGCCGGAGGATCAGAGCCGGTGTTTTTGTGTCACTTCTTATCAACTGGCTATATTTGCAAACAGAGTATGATTTTAGCATCAGTGCACCATGTGAAAGTTAATAAGACAAAAGGATTAAGATAATAATATAATATAATGTAATACAAAATCTTTATTAAAGTATTATTTACGAAACATTTTTAATATGATATTTTAATATTACAATAATACTTTTCACTGTATATTATTTAAACTCGGTTTAAATAATATTTCAATATAATATTTCAATAATATATTTCACTGTAAATTATATGATCATTTGTATTGTTACATCCATCATTGAACGTATAATGTGAAAGCTACCAGGTTTATATTATATTATATTATATTATATTATATACAACAGTTCTTTCTGGTCCTCAAATCTGATTGGCTGATAAGAGTGCGATATTAGAGTGATAACAGAGCTCCTCCAACTGTCTCACTGTTTGTATCACTCTACTTGCCACAGTTGCCGTATTTCTCACAGCGAGTGTCATGGCGGACGCCCAAATCCACTATAATTTAAAAATTATACTGTTTTTGTGTCACAGAATGTAGTTTTAAGAGTTTTTTTTTTTAGGTGAGAATGAAGTTGTTTAGACTTCAAATATGTGGTTTGTTAATAAAGATAACGTGTATTTGAAAATTTGCTTCGACGTTTTCGGAATTGTGAGCTCCAGGACGTCAGCAGGCGTTCAGCGCTCATGAACCCGCGGAGAGAGCGCCTCACCTCGGCCAGATCTTCTGGAATTTACCACTGGCTCTGATGTCTCTATAGTGGTTAACCGTGAGACATAATTCGTTTTGGGTAAATCTAATGGGCAATCTTTGGTCTCATTAATCTATTATTTGTTCCAGAGTAAATATTTTTGGCTGAGGGCAAAATCATCATGTTATATTTTATGTAGCTTCAGTGCTGTATATAATGCTGCCTTTGTACTTTTGACTGAATTGCCTAGCAACGTTTATGATGGCTGTTGTTATTGTTTATTAAACATTATTATTCAATAAATAATATTTGATATAAATATTAGTATTTAGTATTGGGAAACAGTGTGCGTTCGTGATGGTGATTTTAGTGACATTGTTCTGCCATTAAACAGCTACAAGAGACTGTTTTACGAGTTAGCAGTAAAGACTTTTATATTGAAAAATAAACACTTTTGTAAATGGAAGTTTACTTTCAACAAAAGCTTGACGCAGCCAACAAATGTACTGAGCAGCAAAATCACCCTTAACAGATGAAAGCATAGTACAACAAATGGCCTTTTGCTTTCTTCAGTGGACATAAACTAATGTTTTATTATGAATATGAGATTGAGCTGAAGAATGAATGCTGTATCAGACGCAGGTAATCACACTCGCTCAGTCAATCTCTCTCTCAAAATACTCTACTGCACATAAAACAAAGCTTTTAATTAAGTTTTTTATAAAGCAACTCAACATTCCTTCGTTACTAGTTCTAAAGTGATGTTTGGAATTAGTAATGGAGGCTTGGGCTCAGCTGTTAAACTCAACTTTTGATTTGAATCCGTGGTTGAAGGAAGTAGTTCTCCACAAAAGAGGGATTTAAAAGACACTCCATTGTTGTTTCTTATGTATTTACACACTCGTGCCGTCAAACTGTGGTATAAACGCAATATCACAATCATAGACATGAGATATGGCTGTATATACAGTCGAATCACAGCTGTGCCAATATACAACAATATATCACGTCCACTTGTGTTATATTGCTCATATATTATTATATTATATTATATTATATTATATTATATTATATATTTAAAGCCAGTAAACCGGGTAATTTTCACATTATATATGTAATAATCGATGTAACAGTTTGAATTGCCTTACAATTTAGAATAAAATAGATTTTTGTTTTATTCAAATATTATATTTAACAATATCATATTCAAAATGTATATACTATATACTATATAATGTAATACTATTTTAATAATTATAAGATACTTGTTTATACTAAAATAATATATTTTCACTGTAAATATTTGTAATTCATAGCCATAAAACTTTTTCACAGTATTTTACTGTAAAGTCACACATATTATTCTGATAAATCTAATATAATTCACTATTGCAAAAGTAACCTATTGACTTGATCAGTTAACAGGTTTATAATTTACAGTTAATTTTAGAATGATAATATTAACATTAATTAACAGGTTTAATTTGATTTAATTCGATCTGAGATTTTAATTTAATTAACAGCCTCAAACAGCATTGTGGCTTGAATTCAATGTAATGCTTTGGATAAAAGAATCTACCAAATGTAAAATTACTATACTTTTTACAGTGTTGATAAATCGTTGCACTGAAGACTAGTATGGTTTTTATTTTGTCCCATAGACTTCCATTTAAAGTAAATTACTCCAAACACGTTTTATTTTTATAAACTGATGCACAAATCAAAATCATTTTCTGTGATAATCAACAGCATTCAAACAGTTCTGCCCTTTCAATTAAAAAAAAAAAAAAAACAGCTATTTAATACATATCAAAGTGCAATGAAAATCAACATACTGTATACTAATTAGACAATACAGCAAGACATAGTTTATGTTATATGTATATGGGTGAACACAATGAGGCTTATGAGTCGTTTTTCAGTCCTGGTTCATACCTGCTGCTGGTTGCTTTAGGGGACCAATTAGTGTACTGTAGATTTACAGGAGAAGCGCCTGATGATTGGTGGCTGAATAACAATGGACCTGTGTAAAAAAAACAAAAAAAAACAACAGCAACAAATTAGATCATTTAGTTGAATGTGAGTGAACAGGTGCACAGTCTGTTGAGGATTCATCTATCAAAACAATCCTTCAGATGCTCTCCCTGATGCAGCTACAACACCATATATACATCTAATTAATTATGAAGCAATAATTACAAAACATTCCTTTTTTTTAAAAAAAAAACCCATAAATAAACACCTTGTATTTGGCTGGATATTGGAATATCAAAACTTTACAAATACACAGTTAAAAATAAAGCATTATTTTATAAATTCATTCCTTATTTAGAATTAGGATTATTATATTTAAAATGTTTCTGTTCCAATTTTTTTAAATCATATATTAGTCATTGTTAGTTTTAAAGGCACATAAATATTTTCATTCCTAATAGCAGAACTGATTATTGATGGCATATAATGACAGCTGATACTATAAAAAATAATCATTTCACTGTAAATCATATAGTAATTAATATTACACAGCACTGAATGTATGATGTGAAAGTTACACATTTATTGACTTTATAATATAATATAATAAATATAATATAATATAATATAATATAATATAATACTTTAATATTGAAATAATTTTCACTGTTAATTTAATTACCTGTCAACGATCTCTCTTTCAAAAACACTGGATGAAAGCGTTTAGGGTCTAGCATTATGTGCAAACTGTCATTGACCATTAAATAATATTTATGACGCTAAATTACAAAAGACAGACAGACAGACACACACATACAGAGAGAGAGAGAGGGAGAGAGAGAGAGAGAGAGAGCAGAAGAAGAAGAGGAGCTT